AGTCGATGCGTCAGCAAAATAGTGGAGTTCCGCATTCCTTGTCTTGTTAAATTCGTGCGGTTTATAGCATCGAGGTATTTCTAATTTCACAAGGGAATGGAATTCGCTTTGCCAGTCATGCCATATTTCGCTTGTCTCGATTGGGAGATCTTCGTCCCAGCCGTGATTTACTCGACACAGGTTTTGCATTATGCGTTTGGCTGGTAAAACGACAGGAGCGACTAGACCAAGGGGATCGTAGACCGAAGCTATGAACGATAGAATCCCTCTTCTTGACTCTGCTTTCAATTTGCTTCCCCGGAATCCCAACGTGTCCCTTTCCGTATTCCACTGAACGCCCAATGCTTTCTCCATCGGCAACTTCTCCAACTGAAGGCTGACGCATGGCGCTCTTTCTTTGTTAGGTACGTGAGATAAGACTTCTCGATCATTTGACACCCACTTTGTGAGATGGAATCCACCGCGAGACAGCAAAACTGGTAGTTCGTCTACCAACTTCATTGCTTCTTTCCTTTCTGGTAAAGACTTGAGACAGTCATCTACATAAAAGTTACGATCAACTGTGTCGACAACTTGTTTGCTGAATTCTTCCCGATTATCTGAAGCTGTTCTTTTAACGCGTAAGAACAACAACTTGGGGAAGAGGTTGCTCCGAATAAATGAACAGTCATTTGATGCTCTACTGGTTCTTTGGATAGATCTCCCTCTGGCCACCATAGAAATCTCAGTGCATTACAGTCTTCTGGCTTAACCTTCACCTGATGGAACATCTTCTCAATATCTGCCATTACCGCTATCTTTTCCTGCCTGAACCGCAACAATACACCAACTAATGAATTGGTATAATCTGGTCCTTGAAGAAGCTGATTATTTAGGGATGCGTTGTGGAACTTCGCAGCACAGTCAAAAACGATTCTTGTCTTTTCTGGTTTTTGGGTGTGTCACAGGGTGATGAGGCAGATACCAAACCAGTTTTTTGAGTGACTCGTCCTGTGTATTTTGTTTATCCACTTGAACTACTTTAGCGTGCCCTTTTGAGATGTATTCCTTCATCGTTGCCTTATAATTTGCGTGAAGTATGGGGTCCCTCTCAAGTCGTTTCTTCAAATAAGCAAGTCTCCTTTCAGCCATAGACTTATTGTACGGGAGGAGTGGGTCATCGTATTTCCAAGGAAGACCAATTTCATATTGATGATTTTCTAGCTTGACAGTTCTATCCATTATTGCCTTTGCGCGACGATCCTCGACCGACAGACATTCTTTAACGTCAGCAGCCGACTCGCTAAACTCTGAATTGTAGAGATTTTGCAATTGCTGACGAATGGAACTCATACCATCTTCCCTTTCCATACACCCAAGAGCTTGATCAACATGAATGAAGTTCATCTGAGCTTCTTGATAAGGTTTTCCTTCAGAGGTCCCATCACCGTCCAACCGAGGATTGTCCGTATTGCGTAGGGTTGATTTCTTTTCCCAGAACGCACTTCAAGGGGGCAAAGAGCTTCGGGAACGTCACTTCCAATAAGGATAGTGACTTTCTTATCCACTAAATCGGTTAGATTAACGCCTTTAAGGTGAGACCACCCTTTACATCAGTGTTCGTGGGAATACTTTCTAGAGCAACAGGAAGAGTGTTGGTCGTCCAAACTTTATCTAGTCTGACACCTTTGCCCGTGGATACTCCAACCACATCGAGAGATAACTGTTGACCCTTACTTTTGTGGCTGCCTGAAACAGTCGCTAACGTGAATTCGATGGGTGAGCAATCGGCTCCAAGATCTTCAGCTAAACTGGTTAAGCACATGGTTGTGTTGGAGCCACTGTCTAAGAACGCATAAGTTTCTATCACACGACTACCATAGGGTGCGCTGACCTTAACTGGAATAACTTGCAAACCTATACGACAACTGCTATATGATGAATTTGTCGCGCCAACTCCAGACGTTGGGAGTGCTTTGGATTGGCTGTCGCTTTCAGATGGTTCAGGATTTGGATTACTCCTTTCACTTGATTTAGAATCCTTAGCCTTTATTTCGGATGAGTGTAACAAAGGATGGTGCCTTCTCTGACAACCTTCAACACCGCATATGCGGGCACCTCTGCAGTCTTTCACGAAATGTCCTGGGCTCAAGCAAGCATGACAAACTTTGTGCGTCTTTACTAGGTCTTGTCGTTGCTGAAGATTTTGAGCCCTGAACTTGTGACAGCGTTCAAGATGGTGTGTGCCTTTGCATAGTACGCAGGATAAATTTCTTCCCTTTGATTCACTACTGTCAAATATTCTCTGGCTGTGAGTTGCTAAGTTTGTGCTATTCCCACTAAACAAGAAGGATTTCTTCTTCAATCTGTCAGTTCCATCCTTTCGGGTTTCATTTTTCGAGGTAATCATTTGACCAAAGTACGTACTAGCCACGGCTGCGCGGGATTGTATGAATTCAGTTAAATGAGAGAAATCTGGTGTGATGTGATTGTCGTACATATGGCTTGCTTTATCAGCCCATTTTGACTTGAGATGCATTGGAAGGCGGCTAACTACCCTTCCCAGAGTGTCCATCGAATTGATACTTGCCCGATTTCCTAACTGAATAGAACCAAGGAGACACGTTTCCATATCTCTTGCTAGCTGCGACAATTTCTCGGCTTCGTTTACTCTAATTGGCGGTCCATTCAAGACTTTCTCAAGGAATGCTTGGGTTACGATGTGATTTCGACCAAAGTTTTTTCTCAGGATTTCCTTAGCACGCTTGTATCCTTGATCCGGAGGCATAATGATGCAATGCTCTATCGCTTGTCTTGCTGTTCCTTTACAATACTGAATAAGGTAATTCAGTCGATCTGCATCATTACTTTCTTTACTCTCGACATTCACTTCAAAATTCTTCATGAACAACGGAAAGTTGCGAGGTTCGCCATCAAAACTCATGTATTCCCTTTGAGGCATTCTTAATCCCTTCACTACTTCGTCCATCGTAATCTGCTGCTTCTCTAATAGATATTGTAACTGCGACGAATTGTCTCGTTGCAAGCTTTGCTGAGTTTGACATCCAGTTCCACTGGTTATTATACTTTCTTGGGGTACACAATTTCCGGTAGGAGGTATCGCCAAGCGCTGACTTAAACTGCTTCTGTCGATTGGGGTTGAAGGTTGCTGGACTGGGTTTTTATCTGGTTCACGAGCGTTACTACTACTTTCCCTGTCCGACAGTTGATGTTCAATATCATTACCAAAAACTTCTTCTTCAAGCTTCCGAAGCTCATCTCGACGTCGTTGTATTTCCCGTTTCTTCATAGCCATCTCATGCTCAATTCTCGCCTGATGCATTTCTTTCTCTAGTTTAAGCCTTGCCTCCCTCATCTGCTTGTTCAGCTCTTCTCTTCTATTAATTTCCAATTCTTCAAGTTCACGAAACCGTTCTGCCCATTTTGAATCAAGCGCGCTCGTTACTCCAGCCCCGTTGTCTTCAAAATTTGTTGTTTGCGTCGGCTTTTCCCACGCACGAGCAGTCCGCGTGACGTTCACGTGAGAAGCTGCTTGTTTACCGATATTAGAATTGGACTGGAATACAGGAGCAAGAGGCGATAAAACCGAATTATCCTTCAAAAATGAAGCGACCTGACTTAGACCAAGTTCAAGCTCCTGTTCCTGTTCGTCTGCTACTCGCTCCGGCGAACCCAAACTCGTCGAAGCCTCGTCAGAAACGACAACTTGCTTGTTTTGTACGACGACGTTCGGTCCGCTTTCAGCTCGCTCGCTACCGTCATCTTCAGCGGATTCAATCATGTCTTGATTCGTATTGTTAAGCGAATTCTCTCCAGATTTAGCTCGACTCACTTGACCTGGAGGACTTAACTGTTCGCCAGACGGCTGAAGTACGCGTTTTGATAAGCCTTTAATTTTCGACTTTTACCTTGACCCTTTCGTTTCTGAGTCATTGCTGATCGATTAAACAACAATTACGAGAACTATATAAGCTTCAACAATTCCAGGCTTATGTGACCAGCAAGATACTCGTACATAAACTACTATTAAAACGACGACCGGTATACAGATAAATCTTTATTTCAATGCAATGCGTCAAACGTACGGTTCTAAACGACAGAGTATAGATATTAACATAACCGACAAGGAGGCCTAAAGCCGTAATCATCGTTACCTCGTAATTTGGCCACTAAATATAAACATCCATGTACAAAAAATACACCACTATACATGAATTGTGCTCAATCTCAAAAGACCCCAAGAACCATGCTTTTATACGGGTCCCTTTTTGTTTTTCATAATAATTAGCATAATAATTAGCATAACCTAAGCTCTATGCATCTCGATCCTACACTCCTCTTATTTGTGTCACATGCACGAGTTGTTTCCGACTCCATCGCCCAAGAATCTTGTTTGGCAGTAGCTGATGGAGTAAATTGTGTAGTTCGTCAATTTATTACATGTTTGTAAATGTAGATACTCCCGGGTTCAAACCATTTACTTTATTACGATCATTTGGAGGTATTCATGTTTGACATAACAGCAGTAAGCGTAGACGAGTCTACGGTTGGATTAAATGTAGGATCGCCCTCTTGTCTAATTCTCGCTCGTTTTTATCCCACATAATTTTTGTTTCTATAGATAGTTTTCTGCTAGTGTGATTGTCTCATCGTTTAGCTTGCATTGTGACATTGCTTCGGGTGCATATCTGACGTAACTTCTTAGCGAAAAAACCAATAAAAAAGTAGAATGTGAATTTATCCAAATTTTCCATATATTTTTTCTAGTATGAGTTGTTTAACATCCTGGGCTTAATGATAAAGTACCCATACTATTACAAACATATGAAATTGTCTACTTTTTTTTACTAAACCTGTACAGCGATTTTTGTCGCAACTTTACGAGGTTATTCTCAACTAGGTGATAGTGAAGGCCGATCTATATATCAAGAGGCTTATTTGAAATATAAAAATGCAAACAAATCACGGGCAATTAAAAATTGGATTTTTTCACATTTTAGAACAACGTTATACCTCAACCTTTAAGAGAGAAATACATAAGCGAAAACGACTACTTAATTCTTGAGGACGAAGCTCAGCGAGTGAAGCTTGTTGGGAACATTCCTTCTGAATATCTTATTACAGGTAAATTTTTATGTTATTTGTTTCAGGTATTGCTACACAAAGCTATACATTTTACCAATTCATCTTATGATTGTGATGTGGATTGTTATGGGTGAATGTTTTAGCTGATGAAATCCACCACTTCGCCAATAGGAGCACGTGTAGATTTTGATATGTCACGTGGTACAAACTGTAAACTTTGCGTACATTGTAACGGCTTTATCATATATTCTTATACTGCATTGACTTTTGACTTGAAAAATCATGACTACTAATGTGTTTTTTGGCAGTTTTTTGATGCAAATATGTTTTTAAATCTTTTGTCAATAACAGTGGTTCTGGGAGTATAATGTGTAGCTTCTATAGTCAATAAAAATCGACGGTAGAAAATGTGAATACTGAATCAGTAGTCCGAAAGGATGACTAAAACATGATGTGTTTGTTGTGTTTGTAACAACGATTCTCGCTGTCCAAACTTAATAAAAAAGAATGAAAATAGTAATGAAGTTGGTTTTCATCATTTCTCAAAGCGCTTGCGAGAGAAATACTCGCGTTGGATCGTTATGTGTGCTTGTCATCGTGGGATAAACTCATGTGCTGAAAAGACAGCTATATTTTTTCAATCGGTCATAAATAATAGTGATTCTGTAAGATATATACGTAGTTTATAGCGAGTCGTAGTGAATGATCTTGAGATGACATGAAAAGCACTGCGTTAGCTATGTGACGGCAGACGGCGTAGCTATTGTAAACAGTGCAATCAGATAGAATTTTTGATTGGGTTCAAAGTTTGACTTTTTTTTGCTAGAAATTTCTAAACTGCTTGGAGAAGTAACTCTATCTCAGAGTCGGTCCACGGTTTGCACACACGCTTTGACTCTTTTCTTCACACAGAGAAAAGATTTTTTTAGTAAAGTGCTTAATAAAGCGAACGCTTAGACTGTCATCAGAGGAGTTCATTGAGGGTGATCTCAACTCATTGAAAAAGATATTTCTCTCAAATGAATATCCGGAAAAAATGCTTGATAAACTTTTCCATCCACAAAAAATGAGCAGAACAGGCCTTTAGGTCCAGCTAAATGCCCTGTGTTTATCAAACTTTCATGGATGGGTAAGGCTTCTAATGATATTGAAAGGGAAACTAAGAATATTACGGAGAATTCGTTTTTGGCGAGCAATGTTATCTTTATTTTTCGAAAAGAACTATTTTACCACCCACCCCAAAAGAATCTTTACCGGCACAACTTTTAAGCAACGTAATTTATGAATATAAATGTGAGTGTGATGCTCGCTATGTACGTAGAACGTCTCAAAGGTTGAGTGATAGGATGAAACAGCATGTGCCAACTTCAATCAGAAATGGAACGGTCCCCTCAAGACAACAACCAAAACGTGATTGTACGAAAAGTAATTTAATTTCATGTGACTCCGCGATTGGTAAACATCTCTTGAATAACTCCCATTGTGCTGATTCTTATTCAGACGACAATTTTAGAATCATTATGAAATGCCGTTCATTCTTTCAGTTACGCGTTTTTAATTGTTATGTTTTTAATTTATCCCTGTTTTGAGCGTCATCTCCCCCCTTTTGGAGATGACGCTCTTTCTTGTCATTATAAATATCGGTAGATTGTATGTTTTCATTTAGCAGACGTTGACAACTGAAGAGTAGTCTGCCGAAATGCATCGTGTCTTTTAATTTAGAACTATTGGTTTAGTGCTCTTTACTGAAAACAGTTCTTTTAAGAACTATCAACTTATTATATTACTTGTACCATTCACTATGGTATTAGCTGTCTTTAGAACTATTTTCAAAATTCAATGTATGGTGTAAACATATTTAATGCAAGAATACATACCAGATCACAAACTTCTGCTTTTTTGAAGTGGCTTGCGTGCATTCTTGGTGATGGCCTTTTTATCATGTAGACAGTAATATTTGTCATCCATTTTGCCTATTTGAAAACTTTGTCTTAAGGAGTCTTTTTTAATTACTAGCATCTTTGATTGAACTGTAATTTCAAACAACAAAATTCCCTATTTGTCGTTTTTGTAGGCTTGATTATCGCTGTGCTTGGGTTTGAGGATGATGCTGGATATTTTGCAGTGGAAAATTATTGCTTATGTGGATTGCCGGAACAAGAAGATCCTACTAAGGATCAAACTCTTCTTAATGGAGAAGATTGGTAAATTTTTTTGATGATTATAGTTTGGATTTTTCTCAATTTTTCGATTCAATGTGTTTTTCAGCTTTGTCGCAATCATGACTGGTCTTCATTTTGGAAAAAAGGGTCATGATTGTCTTCAGCTTCAAATGCTTATTGATCTAATGACTGGGCAGCTTGGTTGCATGAAGGTAAAGTTTTTGGTGCAAAGTTTCTATAGTAACTTTGCAGTATTGTGATAAGTGGCCAAAATTCACACGAGTCATACACTGTGTAAACTTTCTGAATGCAATTTATGTTGGTCTTGATTTGGTGTTATCATTCATTGCATCTCTTAAATTTAATAAAAATGAAATAAAAACCTTCTGGCTGAAATTTCTGAAGATCCGATTGGACTTATGGTTTTCTTTTCTTGTGAAAAACGCCGTATTTTGATTCTCATTGGACATACGAAATTTTTCACTTGTGAATCTAAGTTTTACTGACAATAAGTAGAAAGGGTAAAGCTATAGAACCGCTGACATCAGCATTTTCAGGAGCTCTTACTCGTGTCAATTAGTTTCCAGTTCGTGAAAGTTCTGGGTGCGCGAGTGTCAACTGGAAACAGGGGAAAGTTAAGTGTAATAGGTTAACACGATGAATGGGAAATGAAACAGATATAAAGGGCGATAAACATGACGGCTGTGAAATAAAAAAATTCTTTCTCAAAAACAATTTAAAAAGAAAAACATGTCGAACTTGAAAGATCAAGCAGGTCAAGTGGTTTTCTTAAACCTTTATCAGACTTTGAGAAATGAAGGAGTTAAAATATCTTCAGAGATTATAACAGAAGAAGTTTTGATTAAGACCTATCTTCGTGTCAAACCAGAAGCGAACATGGATAAGGTGCTGGCAACATGTTTCTCATCTTCTGCCTTTAAAGTTGGTTTCAGTGGGAAGTGGCGTTGACGAAACCAACGGATGCTTGTTGTTTTTTCCAATAAACAGGCATTACGATAGAAGAATTGTAAAGATGTAATATGGCATACTGAAAACTTATACGATCATTTTCTTGGTGCAAACTGGAGAACATTGATAACAGACTACATGCAAGACCATGGATAATTCTTCTGTATACAGTTGAAACATTTAAAGGACATTGGCAACGAAAATTTTTATGGCATATTTTTGAACCTTTGTGATGTCTAACAACTAAAATAGAAAAATTTTTTCTCAAAAATATTTTGTTGCTGAGATATTTGCAGCAAAAGTTTTATAAATTGCGCCATCTTGGATAAAATTTTGATAAAATTATCTCGAGGGTAGTGACGTCATTGGCTGGTGAGCAGTCAAAACAACAATACAATATACTTTGTGATTGACTGCGTTAAAACACATTTAAAGCGTATTTTACGGGTTTTTTTGCTGTAATGGATGACATACACGAAAATCAACCGGGTGAGGTTCTGCCCTATCAATATGAACCTGAAGTGAAGGCCGAAACTAGTGAAGAAAGCGGTTCCGAACAGGAGAGTGAGCAGAGCGACTTGTCCTCGTCGGAGAATGAAATACATGCTGAATTTGAGAAAGCAAATGCTTGGCGCCTTCAAACTCTTAGTTGGTGTAAGTGTGGACATTGACATTGTACTTTGTCAAAAAAGGCAATCGAGTGTTTTTGTTGCTACGAAAAAGCGCTTGAATACGATGAGTATGAGGCTTTGCTAGGCCAAACGGAAACTCAAGGAGTAAATTGCTTGACAACACACCAAGAATTTAGGGACAATATGCTCTCAGAAAGTGTGTTAAAGATAGACGTGTGTCGGCATCTTGAAGAAAACTGGCCCCTGTCTGATGAGGATCTATTGATAGATGATTCCTCGCACTTTATTTGATGAAGAAATTTTTTTGTACACCCTGTTTCGTACGCGTCCTCTGCAAAATGGAGCGAGCAAATTCTGCTGTTCGCCAATGGCTCGAATGATTTCCTTTTGCAAAAATCAATCCATAGTTTTCTTCTCTTTTGCTGTGCTTCTGATTTTCGATGAGGGAACCGAAAGAAATGAACATCATTCTTCTTTTTTTTGAAGTCGCTGTTGCAACCGTACACCGGGCAATACATGTTTAAAAAGTAATCTAAACTGAAATATACCTTTCTAATTATGGGCATCATTTCATTGTGCATCAGCTTTTATAGGCAATGTATCGTGACAACAAATCCGTGCAGCGTGTTCGTAAAAGATATCTTTGGTGTGTACTTGACGTTCATGTCATCAATCTAACAAGCATATTACGGTATTTTCCGTCTGATGTTATCACGAAAGACCGTAAATTTAAAGTCTTAGACAGACGCTCTTTGATGTTCTTTGTTATGATCTGCAATTGCGATGCCATACATTGTCGAAGGTTTGTCACAAACTGCGCAAAAGCAAAATGCATGAGTGATCCACCCAAAACTTGTATTCATTCATTAGTTATAAAGTTAATCGAAAAGTGTACTTGTACATTGTGCACGCAAACACGCACGTAAAACATTACGGATAAACGAAACTCTACAGTCAAGAACAAAACATAGCGGCTTATAGCTTATCACCTATATAAAACTACATAATCTTTCAAAAACTCTTATGTATACAAATAATGAATTACACGTATAACTTATTTGTTGGTCACAGGTTTGTAATATGGGAAAATGAAATATTTCTATTGCACGAAATGTTCAGTGTATAAAACGCGCTTGTTGTTGTCTGAGCTTACACTTGGTATGTCGGCAAAGCCGAGTTGTAAGATCTGCTAAAATAAACGTTTCTACGTCTTATCACGACTAAATATTGGAAAAGTATATAAGCGTGATAAACTACACAACTTTTGTTAATCTTAACAACCGCCGACTGTTGTTTTTGTTTTAAAATTCCAGTGAACAAATGTGCTATATATTATTATAATACTATTATTTTATATTGTGTCATTCAGTGGATACCAGCCAATGACGTCAGTAATGTATTCCGGCATAATTTAGCATAAGGCTTTTTTTCCAAAATGGCGGTTAAGGATTCAACTTTATGTCAAATTTTCTCAACAGCAAAATTCAAAAGAGACACGAAAACACGAAATTAAGTATTCCATAGCTATCTATGATAAACGTATGAAAAAAAATTTTCGTTGCCAATGTCCTTTAAATCTTAAATTGGATTTTTTTTGGCTTTTTTTTTGTCGCAATGATACATAATCGTAAACGTTTAAGTTTTTGAAAAATACAAGAACATTGTAAATCGTATCATTAATTTTTATTACTTTAACGATCAATGGGTGCCTAGACTGTATTAGCTACAGAGTAAAAGCGGAAGTCTTGGATAATATGTGAAAATGTAATTTTTTTATTCCTTCCAATAAAACACCAGAAAGCCCTCATTGTATATTTATTAGATGAACGAGTATATAGTTGAAGGTCATTTTCGGAACTGCTGTTTACCTTAACTTTTGCTGTTGTGCTTTGGCTTATTGACTGGAGATTGAAAATAAAAAAAAGAAATATGGCATCCCTTTTTCATCAAATGCATGCGGACACGGTAAAAGTAGGAGAGATTGATCACAGTGATCTTATTTATTTGATTGAAGTGGAATCTCTCAGTAAAAAGATTCAAGAGCTACGAGTATCTGAAAACGGTGGAAATCAACCTGAACCTTTGACAGATTATGGCAACTGTTTGGACATGTTGACAGAGGAAGATCGATGGTTCCTTTTTGTTGATCGTGCACAGAATCCGAAGCCTTCCAATTTCTAAAGTACCTTGGACCTTCTAAATCTCAAAAGATGTACTTTGAAAATCTGTTAAACGCAACTTGAGTAGAGCTGATGTTAATTTATACAGAAACACAACGACGTTCATTTTTTAGCATCTTTTTGATTTTGTTGACAGTAGCTGTAAACTAAAGTATAAATCAACTGCATGTGTAATTGCTTTGACAAACATAAAATTTTCTTGATATTATACTTTGCTCTCAGTTGAGTTTGTACTGTTAATTGATAAGTACGTTTATAAAAAAAATGGTGAATTGTATTTGCAAAGGAGAAAAACGATCATTACCACCTAATACACACATGAGCTCTTGCTAAAACTACTTATAACAGATCATAAACACTTACTCAAATGCTCATGTCACATGACTCACACGATTACGTTTATTTACATACAGATATGCATAATGTCGATAAGATCAGTTAAGGCTCCACCTTCATTGGTCTTATTTGCAGATAAGCAGTGGCTCAAAACTACTTATAACTGCTCGTAAACACTTGCTCAAATGCTCATGTCACATGACTCATATGAACACGTTCATTTGCGTACAGATATACGTAATGATAATAGCAGCAGTTAAGGCTGCACCTTCATTGGTCTTATGAGCAGATGAGCACTGGCTCAAAAGGGGCAGCCTTGACTGATCGTGTTCATGTGAGTCATATGACATGAGAAAGTGTTTATGAGCAGTTATAGTATTTTCGAGCCAGTGCTCATCTGCCATAGTTTGTATCCTAGCAAGTAAAGTGTCACTTACTGTCGTTGTTATGAGTTCTCTCAATTTTTGATGGCACAATCACAGCACTACATGCAGACGGGACTAATGATGCCACATACAATTTACCAAAGGTGTCGAAGAAAACGGAACTCTTCCTTTTCTGGACTGTTTGGTAAAACATGACAACCGAAAACTACGAACCACAGTTTATCGCAACCCAACACACACTGACCGAATATTAACCAATCATCGTACAACCCTACATCACACAAAGCCACCACAATGAGAACAGTAACAACACATGCACAAATCATATGTGATTCACCAGACGCTCGAAAACAACGAAAACAACTATCTCAAACGTGTTTTTGACAAAAACAACTATAACTTAGACTTCATCAAACGCAACACTTACAAACACACTTTCATTTTTATTTAGGATCATGACAAGATCAGAAAAGTTGTTCGAATCGTGATCTGTGGTAACTCACTAAGTGCATGCACGAGAGATAAAGACAAAGAATCTAAAGTAAGTTGTATTGATTTAGTTCCAACATGAAACGCTCATGAAATTTCAATTTACGCAGCTGAGATTTCCCTTTTTACGGCCTCCTTTTGTTTGGGATTTAAGTATACCTAATTTTTCACAATAACAAGCAAAAAGCGCACACAAACTACAAATGAAAAGAAGTGTCCACTTGTTTAGAAAAGTTTCTTAGTATAATTCTCTTCTTAATTATTGCAAGGTTTTTTGAGAATTAACCTGTACCTTGGTGTACCAATTGAGATAAAAAAATCCCTAAGTTGCCCTAGAAATCTTCCAAGAAAGGTGTTGTTGTTTTAACTGTATATTAAAGCATTTGATTACAGTCTATAATTAACGTAATATGTAACAATTAGAAAATAGATGTTGGGGAAAATACACTCAAAAAATAGATGCTCCAAAATATATTGAGAATGTAGATGTTCAGCAATAAACTTTTCAACAACAGGTTGTTGTCATTTGAATTTAAATGAACTATATTTGTTGCACCAGTGATGTGTGAGAAAGTTTTTAGTTCAGCTTATATGGGAGTTTTTATATATATAAAATGGGCTCAAAATTGTTTCTAACGACATCTAGCCAACCAGGCATGTTAACCTGGTTAGGCCAACTCAGATCGTGCATCAATTTCTCCGATTTTTATTGAAGCATTTTTATTTGATTGTTTTAGTCCAATCTTTTACGTTCATTGTTTCGTATGACAGTAAATTGTTGCAAATATAATGACCATTTTTATAGTGTGACTTAAGTTACCGTTAAAAACGTTTGAAAGAGCTTAATTGTGTCAAATAAAGCGCAATTGAAACACTTGATCGAGCTAACGAAAGTTCAGGCCACGTTATTAGTGGAGTAGATGTTTGCAGATCGACTGAATCAAAGTGTTCACTTTTTGTTGAAAGAACCAAACTTTTAAGAATAGGATTAAGCATTAAGCGGAATTGTAGATTAACTTGGTGCTCTTTTTTAAATTGACCGTCCTGTATAGTATAAATTAGAAACAATCGGTACTTAGGCTGTTGCGATATCTGAAAATTGCGATATCGAAAAAAGTATATCGAAAATATGGACTATTTTAATTATGCAAATGAGCAATTTTAAAAAACGTAGTATAGTCAATACACTCGCAAAACGATTAGAATATAAAAAAGGTTTATTCACTTTAGTCCGTATGTTGTGGTACGATATCTTTCAGCTTCATTCGGCACCCCTTAGAACTGAGTAATTTTTTTGTCATCTTGACATTTTCGACTACGCTGAATCCAAATCCGAAGAGTTCCCAAGTCCTAGACCCGCAGTTTTTTCTAATTCGCAGTTTTAATCATCACTCATCAATAATAAAAAGCCGCCATCTTTAATTTCTTCTAAGGATAATGAAATAATTCCATTCGTAGCACTTCCTTAAATTATGCCTCAATCCCTCGAAATTATGACCGTGTAAGACTTTTTAATGCTGGAATGTAATATTGACAACTTTAACTTAAGGTGATGGTGATAAATTATAAATAATCCGTGTATTTGTTGAGGAATTTCTTCGTAAATGCATTTAGTGCTGTTGCGTGATTTAGATTGCATGAATAAGAAAAAAATATGTTATTTGAAACCATAGTAAAGAACAGCTCTTTTTGAGAAATTTTTGGTGTAGTTTCCTTTACTTGAAGTATGTGCTCATAATTTCCTGATGACTCACACACTCAGTTTCCTAATTAATGGTTGGATGTCATCTTTGCACGAAACAAGTTGTTTCCTATCGCACGAAACAGTTAGTATAAATAGATGTAAATAAATTAATGTAGCTAGACATTGTAAGTGTGTTCAATAAATGTGTTGAAAGATACAGTTCCTTGAGTTTTGTTGAACCAGCAACTGGAAAGCTAAGAGGAGCTTTCAAACAGTATAATGTAAATGCGAACGCAAATTCCTGTTCAAACTACATAAATGAAAGTTTCAAAGATTAGAAATGTAAAGCAATATTATGGCGGATTTATGCATCGTTGACTATGACAGGAAAAATGGTCCTAAAAATAATTTTCAGATAAGACTCTAAAGACAATACTTAACCGAAGAAGAGAATGGCTTGAACTTCTACAGCATGAAAAATATCATATAAATTGGGAAATTGCTAAAACGTCATCGAAATATATACCAAAAGAAGTCCAAAACATTAGAAAATTGCCTGAGGCATTGTCGTATCACCTAGCATGTCATAGAAGTTTTACTGATATTACTAAACTCAAAAGAGCTCAGAAAATAGCGTCAAGTGCACCTTTATCCTTGAAAGATGAACATGAAGACCCAAAAGAAAAAGTACAACGAACAACTAGACAATCATTTGGTTTTAAAAGAAAATGTGGCGAGTCTAATATTCGACCTCTTCTAATATTCTTCTAAAATTTTTTTTAATCTGCAAAGAATATGGACCAATATATGTCACTAATACGGTATGAACTTAAATAACTCATGCTTAACATACAAAAAATATTTCATAATGTTATTTGGAAATGGCTTTCTCCAATTTAGATTATACGTTTTGGGCTTCAAAGAAACGTGTGAAGAAATATCTTTCTCTGGCACAAACCAAAACGGCCGAATTGCTGTTTAAGGCTGCCGAAATGAGAAACGATGAAAGTGTTTTACTACATATAAGAGGAAAGGACTGTGTTGCAATTGAAGCCAGGTATCATAAAAAATGCTACCAAAAGTATACAAAAACCTTGTCGAACATGAAGAATACTAAACCTTCCGTTACTGAACCAACAGTTTACGACAAAGCCTTTCATTTATTTTATATAAAAGCGATGGAGAAACGAATCAATGAGGCAAAGAAATCTTGCTTTTGAGCTATCTTCTAAAGAAATTTATCGGCTTTATTCAAGAAATTGACGGCAATGTTGTAAAATACGAAGCAAAACGCCTAAAGAAGAGGATAGAGCTACGGTACCCACAAGAAATCTTCCATTTATCTAAGACTATGGTGAAAGGAACACTTGTGTACTCCAACGATTTGTTGGAAGCGAATAAAGATGACAGCCAAGAGGAAGACGGATTGCACGAAGAAGAAAACAGCTTAGCAGAACGATCCAACCCGATTGTACACGACTGTTACAGAAGAGCAAGGGTGTTGATGGCTGGCCACCTGAATCAACTGATCTAACGCTGGAGCAAGCGACTGAGTCGTTACCAATAAAGCTGTTAAACTTCATATCTTGGACACTCGGATATTCAAATGAGCCCGTAGTAGATAAAAGAGTAGTGCTTACTCGCAGTCAAATTTGCAAAGTCGTTTCGATATGTCAAGATCTCGTTTATGCTGAAGGTAAGGGAAAAAAACAGACGCCAAAATCACTGGCTCTTGGTATGACTGTGCCTCAAATATCTGGATCAACGAAACTTATAAATATTTTGCATGTCACTCAATTTCATCATCTACCGTTTGTAATCATGACTCGGCACTGGCTTCAATTTGTAATACATCTGATGATGTCATCATACCACGAAATATCAATGTGGGAAAATTTACCACCATTGTCTGGGATAATAACGATTTCAACGAAGAAACTCTGAGTGGTAGAGGTACCACACATGTTGTAAACGGAATTGTCATTAAAAGAGGGGAGCTTGCTCACAACAGTAAGGCGACCGTAAGTAAAAAGATACGAAATGTGAAAGTACCTGAGCGCAGTATCCAGTCTTACTATAACACACAAAAAGGCTTACTATCACTTTATCCGTATAACACTGAACATGATCTTGATCTTCATAACACTCGTCACCTCCAGAAAACTGGAATACATCTTGGCTTTGCATACATACTATGCCGAATATATTCAATTGATATCGAAGATATAATACCTGGTTGGACAGGATTTAATAGTCAGTTGGCCCCAAGTGCTCCTGATGTCTCCAACATCGGTTACCTTCCAGTGATTGATAGTCCGGCTGCAGACATGGCAAAAGGCAACGAAATACAGCAGCAGAGTACTTCCATTTGCCAACGTCTAAATATTCCCGAAATTGTTCTTGTATTTGATGAGGCCATCTATGCAAAGTTCCAAATGATACGATGGAAGGAAGAAGAACATTGCCATCGATTTGTTGTTCGACTTCGAGAATTTCATACAATTATGTCTTATTGTAGTGCTATTGGCAAAATATTCTCGGACGCTGGTCTAGAAGTAATAGGTAATCATATTTGCTTTTAGTGCTTTAGAAAATATCTTGCCATACTAATTACTAAGCTGCTATATCTGTATGTTTAAATCACATTGAACAATGCTTTACTTATATTACTATAAATCATGATTTAGGACATAATGATAAAATCGGAGATTGTTGCGTCCGGCTCAGTCAATGGAGTTCTAACAGAAAAGCACTACAACCGATGTATTAGAGCGCATAAGGTGATATTTGAGGCGATGCAACGACTTCGTTTTTTTGGTGTTTTACCAGTCTCTGTCAGATAGAGAAGCTGAGGAGCTGAGCTCTTTGAGTTTGGATTTAATACATTGCATCAAAAAAATTTTGCCGACTATTGTGTAACTGATGCTCGTTTCATCTCTTGGAAAGAAGTGTTTTATTCTTTTGTAGAAAAACGTTGTGAAGAAAGCTACACTTTTTCGTTTTGGTCCACGTACATTGACATGATACAGTTGTTATTTCTTTTCATTCGAGCAACAAGAATATCCAACTGGCAGTTGCTTCTTTCAGTGCTGAGATCAATGATTTCATAGTTTTTTGCAACTGATCGCATCAACTATTCAAGATATGGACCTTGTTATTGGCTGGAAATGTCTTTACTGGAAAGTACCCGTCCATATGAGTTTGGGAAAGACATTAATATTAAAATAAGTATATTCCATTGGCATTGAAAGTGAACCAACTTTCAACAAGGGTCATCAATGCTGAAAATTTCTTTTAACTTTAAGACTAACAAAACTGTCGTCATTCTATATATTGTTTTTGCTGAAAACATTGAACATGGCTGGATT